CTATGTAACACAAAGTCTAAAATCAACCACTTTAGATAATTTTTTTAGTTCTTTTTAACAACTTTTAGATCATTCTTGGAGAAATGTCTGTAAGACGACTTATGCGCTAATTTTAGACTTTATTTGTGCGGTTTTATATTGCACTTTAGTTGTAATGTTCATGCTGTATACACCATACATTGTTACTCTTATTTCTTCTATCCGTTATGTAAATTTGCATAATTTTTTATATTTTGACTATATTTAAAATTCATATTTATTCATTTTTTTTGTATTTATTATTCATTAATTTTCATCATTTGACTACATTTAGTTTAAAATTATTCATTTTTACTTTACTATTCCATTTTAATTTATTATTTAGTTAGCTCTTTTACAGTTAACCATTTTATTAATTATATTTTTATCTATTGACTATTAGTGCATTAACGTAATAATGGTCGGAAGAAGCTATCTAAGATTTGGCGAGCGAATTATCGAGAGTTTTTCTTAATTATGTATATCCATACCGTACTTGACTTGCTGTGGATTTCTGACCGTTCTACAGCTAAAAAACCATCATTTCGATGTAACGCCTTCTCAGCACTGAAGAGGACCCAAACCAAGAATCAATCGTATGCTTTTTCTTTGCATTTTTATTATATTTATTAATAAAGTTTTTATTCTTTACGCACTAATTACTGTGCGTTGGCTCCAAAGAGTATTCTCTTCTTTCCTTTTAGACTTTAGATTGTTGTCTGATTGCAATAACTAACAACATCCATACATTCTCTACTAATATCATTATTAATATTGTGTGAACACATTTACATAACAATTTGCGGAACAATCATTCAACCAGTGACAATTATTACATAATACACGGCAATGGGGTAATCATTAATATATGTATGCAAAGATGTTTGCGCACAAAAACATTATACATTAATCATCTTACATAATACATGATAATTATTAGTAGATTAGCATATACGATGCTATATACGTGTTAACAAAAAAAAAACAAATTGTATTGTTATTGAACTTATAGAATTGTAATTATAGACTTATTTCCATCTGTATGCAATTCAGAAAATAAATATTTTATTTAATAAATAAAACAAGAGATTATACATACTTAAATAATTTGCAAATTTAAAAGATACGTACATTTTAAAGACATTTGTAACTTTTTTTTTAAACATCTTCAAGATGTACATATCCTCAAATTAAAGTTATAACAATTCCAAAAGTACTAATGTGTCAAAAATTTTTAAATAAAAATTTCGTTAAATAATGTATTGTTTTATTTCATACAAAAATACATACATACTTACATTTTTCAAAAGTACATACATTTTTCTAACATTAGTAAAAAAATTAATATTAGAAAACTAAATATTAACTAAATTTAAATTTTCTAATATTAATTTTTAATACTGAATATGAAATGAAATAGTATCAATTACAACATTTATTTACAATTAATATTATGTTTTCTATATTTGTACAATAAATTTACTTTTTTAGATTAATATAATTAATAATTTATATTAATCAATTGCACAGTTAATAGTAATTAATTGCAATAATATCGCAGTACAATTAATACGAATTGTATTAACTACGTGCAATGTCTGTTAATATTATGCTTGTTTCTTTTTACTCAATTTAGATGTATACATGTAATTACAGCATAAATTAATAATTATCTTTATTGTAAAGTATGTACTTAATAATAGTATGGTAAGAATAAAGAATAAAAATGTATAGACATCGATTAGATTCTGTTCTATCCAGCTCTGAGATCTAAGTGGCGTTGCTAAACTTCCATTTGGATGACGGACGGCGTATTCAATGCTCCAAATAGCTAAATCTAAAGGCGGTAATGGTCGATCTCGGAATTCACTAGATAACTTTTTCATGTTTCTTGTATAACTGCACCAAAAATGTTTTACTATTAATATGATATTACACAAGTAAATTAAAGGAAAAGCTATCAAGACACATAAATAGGAAAACCAAATTTTATCATCAGCTATTTTACGGGCAATCACTTCTACAAGAAATTTTTAACCAGATACTATTTTATATTAGATTTAAACATTATTTGAAATATTATATTATTTGATTATATTATTAATTTACTGTTTAAACAATAATTTTATAATATAAAAATATAATCAAAATATAATACCTTTCATTGTAAAGTACTTCTTCAATTGCATACAATACGTTCTGTACGGTAAAATTTCTAACGTCCAAATATGTGCCAACTCCTTTAGCTACTAACATTTCTGCATTGGATTTTTGATCCATAAAGAAAGGCATTACGATCATTGGTACACCTTTCCAAATGGCTTCCTGCGTGCTGAGAAGACCACCATGCGTCCAGACTGCTCTCACATTTTTATGAGCTAAAATAATTTATTATAACAAATTTTAATTTATAATTATTATATGATAAAAATTGTACATTAAAATAATTTTTATTTTAATTATATAATAAATGTCCCAACTAATCAATACACTTAATCAATTCTTCTTAATCAATAGTTTTGTCACTTACAAACTATTGTATTATTAAATAAAGAACAAATTTCTTATAGTAAAAGACATAAAAGCTTCTAAAGAGTGCATTTGTAAAATGTAATTGTAATAATTAACAACTGAAATTGCCTATAGATATTATAAGTAAATATAAAGAAAACTGTGAAAGAAAACAAAATTGTTCAGACATGATTGCAAGATAATCAGATAATTGTAATGCAATAAAAACTTATTTTTTATATTGTAATTGTTTTCAAAATAAAGTTTTATTGTAATGAAATTAATTACGCAAGAACTGTTTAAATTTGAAAATATTTGTATGCGCAATGTTTTTGCGTATGTCTATCGCGATATTTTTATTGAAACACTAGAATATGATAAATCAAATAACAATTCTAATCGATAGAACATAAAGAAAAGTGATTCTGTGATCGCAAATATAAATTATATTCTATTCAATGTTATATTCGAAAGAATATTAAAATAACATCTAAAATTTTGTAAACATTCTAATTGATAATAAAAAGAAATTAAATTATAAACTTAATTAATTTTCATGTTAACAAAGAATGTGTAAAAAGTAATAACTAATTAAACAAACATTACTAAAAAATATACATATATGGGAATATACCGTAAATTATATGTTCGTGTTTATCCAAAAATCAGAAAACCTACACAGAACTTCGTTTTGCGGCATCCATTTCACAATCATTAGATTGTCCGGTATTTTAGACGACATTTCAATATCTAATTTCCAAAGCACTCGTTGCTTCAATTTTGACAGAGCCAGTATAACAGCCTCAACTTTATCTACTCCGATAAATTCCCATTTCACATTTGTTCCTAAGGATATTACTATGACTCCATTCTTTGCTTCGTCAAGAAATATACGCATATTCTGTGAAATAATGATAAACTAAATTACTAAACAATTCAATATTATAATTTCGATAATATACAAGGATATGACTCATCGCCAAAATAGCTATATATAATCATAAATAGAAATGCTTTCAAATAGAAATACTTTCATAAATAGAAATACTTTCAAAATTATGTTGTAACAAGTAATGCTGCTTAAGACAAATTTAGTTGTATAACATTCTCTTAATAAGTTATATTTGTAAATAGAATATTAATTTAAGAATTATTTTTGGATTCTAAATTTAGTAATATGTCATGCAATATTTACTCTCTGGTTGTAATTCATCCTTTGCTTAATTACGTAAAAAATTAAATAATACTTAATTACTAAACAAAAATTATATTATATATAATATAATTAATTATAATTATGAAACTGCTATATATTTATTCAATTATAAAGATTTTAAAAATAGCACATTTAAAATGTATGTTTTACGTATTAAAACTGATTATGTGTGTGTGTGTGTGTGTGTGTGTGTGTGTGTGTGTGTGTGTGTAGATTTTATAAAAAGATTAATGCAAAAAATTTTATAAATTTTAAACTATATAAAAAATTATAATATTGTAATTTCCTGATTCAATTAATATCCTAAATTTAAATAATTTAAAAGGTGTTTTCTTATTACAATTTGAATAAAACACAAAAAGCTGTGCAACATAAGAGGAAATGCTAATTTAAGTCTTGTAATTAAAAAATCTTTGAACGTATATAGATAACTATAAACAATAATTCAATCAAGATTTCATTAAATTTCCATTTCGTCAGTTCGCAGTTTCTTTCCAATTTTTTTTCTGCAATTTTTGCTGGTTCTCATATAAGAAGTACAATTTGTCTTACCTCGGGATACGTTATGACTTTCTCGCCGGCAATCGGTTGCACGGTCTGGGCATTCAGTCCTGCAATCTCCAGAGCGTTTGGCGGCAATGGGATCCCAGAGTCAAATGCAGAATGACTATTGATTAGCACAATATTAATACTGTCTTTTTCTATATCATGTATTGGCCTGATTGCATGGCCCATGTATTTCTCAGTTTGTCGTTGAATAATAGGCAAATAATAATAATGTCGTAAAAGATCATCCGCAACGTAATATAGTACATTCCATGTTCTCTGCCATAAGCCTACGGGTTTCGCAATAGCAACATACGGGAAAGACCGAACAGTTGGATAATTTGAACCACCGACATAATCCTTGATCCAAGGTGCAGGGCCAAACGGAACATATCCCACTGCAGGTGGCTTACCTTTAGCAACCTGACAAACAATATAGATAATGAGAACGGCTAAAATTAAATAGAACGGTTATTTTGGATTAAATAATCGTTTTGGACAAAATAAAATGAATTGTTCGCTACACTAAAAAAAAAAGCTCGTCATTTTTATTAAGGTAGTACACTCGCGAATTGAAAACAGTCAGAATTTCTTGAAATTGAAACTATACGTTGTACTAGAGAAGTCCTTGACATGCTTGTGCAATTAAAGTGAAATTGACCGTTTCAATACTGAGGTATAAGTAATTAAAAATTGCATTTTTTATACGTGTCGTCTATACAAAGTTCATAAAAATGTCGCGTTTATTTTTGTAAGACCTAAACTAGCAGTAAGATATATGTTAATTTAAAAACGAGCATGCGATGAAGGGACATGAAACGGATATTGTGAAAAAAATTTATAATTTTTTATCGTTTAGTTTGGAAAATAGAGCCTTGGAAAAAATGTAATTTTCGATTTTAATTGACATAGGAGGCGAGTGAATGAGGCGGTCAGTTGAGTTGCGTTAGTCTGCGTCTATCTGAATTAATTTGTTTCCGGCGCGTGTGCGTGCGGCCTATATAGACAGGCGCAACCAAATGTTTTCTCTCACTGGTCAGAGTGGATGTATTGCCACCGAGCACGCGATGGGACCTAATTTCTGGATGGTATTGTCGCGAGTGTACTACCTTAAAATAGATAAATGCAAAAATATATATACATATATTTATATACATATAAAGATAAACTAAAAAATCGATAATTTGGCTGATTGCATGGCTCGGTGATATATGCAAGAATTTTTTATATGCGCTACCATTTCTATAAGATAGATCTAGAATTCTCCGAAGTCATTATACTATTAAATATTATTAGAAAATTACTTTAATTATTATAAAAATTCAGATAGTCATTATTTGAAAAATATATTCTTGTGTCTTTGTAATTTGCGCTGCGAGAATCCGCTCTTCAAATAATCAGCTGTATATTGAAGCTGTACATCGAGCTAAGCAAAAATTAAATGAATCAATAAATGATAAATGATCATTTTTCTATCTTTCTAATAAATTCATTTAAAACTATCATAAATCTGTAAGTGCAATTATGTTATGAAATATTTCGCTCTGCGAATCTTATATTATTTTCATTGTTTTATAATCATTAAAATTGGTGATATGACATAATTTTCAATTATCTATATATTCTATATCATTGCAATAGTGACTAGTTTTCAAATGAAAATTTCCAAGCGGAACAATATATTATACATGGAAAGGAATGATTTAATATTATCAGCTAAATATCAGTATCTAGTTCGAACTTTTCTGTCATTGCTAAAAGTTAATTATTAAAGATAAAATGTATTTGTTGCAAGATACAATTTTATTAACTAAAATAAAAGTGTACTTTAACAAGTAGCATAGGAAAGTGGCATTCGAAAAGAATGATTTTGCTGAAAGACTTAAAAAGTATTGCTGGATATTCCACAATAAAATAGCTAAACGTCATTTGATTCCAGCAGCAAATATTTTTTGCGGTAGCGCTTAAATTTTAATAACTAATAAATTGAGCTTTGGCAGTAATATTAGCTGTCCCTATTTTAAAGACACATTTTAGCTGCGTTAATTAATCTTTTCTCTGTGTGTATCATCATTGAAGCACTGCAACCAGCTAACTTATTCTTAGATCTCTTTTATAATATTTATTTTTACAAGTTTATAAATATATATTCCTTTTGCACGATGTACTAATAAAAATGGCTGATTTTTTTCACAACATAATGTTTAATTTATTTTATTTTTTCCTCATATTTCAAAATAATAATTTACATAATTTCAAGAATTTCCCGATTTATACTCCTATGTATTTACAAAGTAATTATCACGAGACTTTTCATGTACTTTTATGCGTATTTTTTTTGTGCGTAGAAGGCCAATGCTTATTTCAACTTGCATTACAAAGGTTATCACTAATATATGGACGATGACTAGCCACTTGCTACTTAAATACAATATGATTTATGAGGCAAATTTAGTCGCTTGCAATTTAAAAATGAGTTAAACAATTATTTTTCATTAATTGGCTAATTTACCTCCCATAAGCCAAATAAACATTCAAGTAATGAGATATCCTGCACTATAACATCAAACTCGACAGTCTTGATCGTTTCCAAAAGCTCCTTTGCTGCTTTAGTTTCTATCACTATGTCACATGTCTGGATGCCCAAATCGAACATAAAATATGACATATAAAATGCACTGTATTCTGCCCATACAGTCGGGTTAAACTCTTCAGATTTTTCAAATTCATCTATCAAACCATCGAAAACCTGAAAACAATAAATAAATACTCTACAGGAAAAAATATATTAAACTGTAAAAATAAATTATCTTGTCAAAAAATATTGATCTAAAGTAAAATATAGAGCAACATTTTTTAAACAAAAAATAAATTATATTCTTTCTTATTTCTTTTATAAATTGCAAATAATCATAATTATTTGCAATTTATAATTATTTATGTATATTCAAAATCCCTGTTTAAAAGAACGATATAATTGTTTTTAATCGTAGTTATATAAACCGTAAGAAAATTATTATCAACAAACAATTCGATCATTACGATAATGTTTTAATCATTTATTATGATAAATTCCGTTAAAACGAAATAAAACAATAATTAAAAACTTACTATAAAAATTCTATCGATATTTCAACGATTAAAATCGCTTTTATTAAATAATGATAGAAAATGATAGGAAATCATAAAATTTCTTTCGGAATAGAAAAAGTGGGACGAAAGATTACGATAGAATTTTTAACATATCCTATCAGTTCCTATCGTTTTCTATTGAGTTTTTTTTTTAGTAGGGATATCTTCGATCGAGTTCCATAATATCTACAGCGTATATTAAACTGCACTCACTAATTATATAACATTTCTTGTAAAAAAAACCAAGGTGAAAAATCCTGAAGACTTTTTTTCTGCAATACACAACGAAACAATCTCTACTACAGTAATATTATAGCTTCATTAAAGATTGTAAAAAAATGAATTTTTAATGAATTTTCACACGCAGAGAAAGGATTAGCCAACGCAGCTAAAATATAGCCGTTGGCAATGTGTGTCTTTAAAATAGAGACAGCTAATATCGTTACTGCCAAAGCTAAATTTATTAGTTGTTAAAATTTAAGTATTATAGCAAAAAATATTTACTGCTAGAATCAAATGACGTTTAGCTAATTTTATTGAGAAATATCCCGCAAAATCTGTTTTTTTTTTTAAATCTTTCAGCAAAATCATTCTTTCCGTATGTCACTTTCTTAGCTACTCCTAAAGTATTCTTTTATTTTAGCTAATAAAATTGTATCTTGCAACAAACATATTTTATTTTTAATAGCTAACTTTTAGCAATGACAGCAAAGTTCGAACTAGCTATACTGATATTTAACTGATAATGCTAAGTCATTCATTTGCGTGCAGAATTCTTTGAGTTAATTTTTTTATAAGGAATAGCGCTAATATAATTATTGAGTACTATTTGAGAACAATTTTGTTCTTCAGTGTTAAATGAAGCAATAATTACTGCAATATAATTACGTCATTGACCATTATAGAAAAAAAATGGTTCAAGACTTTTCGTTATGATCCATTCTTTTCAATTCTTTTTACAAGAAATAACGCTATTTAAAATACACCCTGTATATATACTTACTGAGTATGTCAAGTTCTGCGCAAGTTTACCTTCCACCTTAGTCTCGTGTATGCTCACTGCGTGCACATGATGGCCTTTGCGAAGTAATCCTTTTATCAAATGCACCGTCCAAATGTGATGGCTGCTCGTTGGAAGAGCCTCTATCAATAAAATCGACAATGGTTTTGATGCTGCCACGAGGCTGATTGAAATACAACAAACAAGGCTGAACAACAAAATAAAACAACTCGACATGGTTGTAACAAACGCGCAGTAAGTTCTGTTACGTACTGCAGTAATCTCTATCAAATCACAAGATAAACTGCCTCATAATTGCTGATATGTTTGATATATCG